ATGTGTGTGTATGTGTATCCTTTGAGAACCGATCATTTAAGCAGCAGCATTAGGCATGCCTGGAAAAAAAAGAGGCAGGACAAAATAAATAGAATGAATGAGCAGCCCAGCCTGGCCCAGGCCTCTCTGGCATTTCGCTGGAGAGGAATTTCACCTGTCACGGATTTTGTCAGGGTTTTAAAATTTCAGTTCCTACAAAAAAAAACTAATAACTGACCTAGCTCGAGGTTGAGCTGCACCTCTGCGCCGTTTCAAATCATTCTTCACCCCGGAGGGGACACTGAAACAGATCTAAAACCCTGTCCTTTCCCCATCATGTCTGTGCTGTTTTCTACGGCAATGCAAGCTCTCTGTGTGCCTCGTGCCTGCCTGCTCCTGCCATGCCCTGTCCTTGCCCTGCCTTGGCCCCACCGCTTTCCTTTAGTGGTCAGCCGGGTGGGTGTCTGACACATCCCTTCCTTCCCCATCTTCCGGTCGCACCTGAAGACCTTCCTATTTGACCCACGGTCACTTGCCCCTCTTCCCAAGTTGTTGTTGAGGAAACCCGTCACCGTGCTTAAGAGTATCCAAACCAAACCGAGAATTCCACACATCCCACCTGAACGTGGAAATTCCAAAGATAGACTGTTGGAAAGGATTGCCCACTCTCTCTGCCTGGAGTTACTCCAACACACAGTCTGAGATGCACAAACCTCGGCTCTAGCCAGTCTGCGCCTGATACTCTCTGGAATTAGGTAACCAGAGGGTGCGCGCCCAGACATGGTAATTTCCAAGCGTGCGTATGTGGAACTCTCAGTCTGGTTTAGATATTCTTAAGCACGGTGATGGGTTTCCGCACGTGTCAGACACCTGGCTGACAAAACAGAAGGATGCATTCGGTGTTGCAACATTCCACGACTCAACTCTACAGCAAATCCTAACCCAGCCCGTGTCTGGGCTTTTGCATATCTACCCGACTGGCTTGTACACTCACAGTCCCCACACTTCGTAATGACATGTGAAAAATTCCGAGATAAACGATATGGATTCTTCTTCATCCATATCTGAAAACCTTATCCTCATGACGCGGCAAAAGGAAAGTAATACCGTATGAGCAGTCAGTAAGAAGGGATTAAGCACTTCCAGAAAATGTACAATTAGCTGCTTGCAAGCAAGCAAGCGAGGTATTAAATTCTTTAATAATCTCTATTCGCTCCAGACACTGGAACGCGATGGAAAGCTGGTTTAAAGTAAAATGCTTTAATGTAATTTCTCTCTCTCTCTCTCTCTCTCTTGCATCTCTATATGCCATCGAGGCTATAAGCACTGTAAATATCATTCTCTGCGTGCTTTGTGCTCCCTTGGTGTAAATTAGTCTGTGCTCATATCTCCTGCCTCCGGTGTTGAGAAGACGATGAAAAATGTTGCATACAGTGACTGCACATAAACTTCCCACCGAGCGCTGCATTTCTATTAAGTTCTAATGGCTCGAAAAAGGATTGCTGAACCTATTTGCAGCACACACAGGCTTTGGAAAACACGCTTGTTGAAAGAAGACCAAGGTCCATCCAGTCCGCCTTCCACCATCCTAGCCGTCGCTTGACATGTCGTGTCATTGTATCCGGAGATATTATTTTCTAACAGAGATCTGTCTAATTTGTTCTTGAAAGGATCAACACTTTCTGCTTCCACCATCTTCCTATAGAGTCTGTTCAATACATTTATTACTCGTTCACTAAAGTAGTGTTCCCCCAAATTTGTTCGGAATTTCCCCCTCTACAATCACAGACGTACACAGACACGTACACAAACACACACACACACACACACACAACAACAAATACGAGTGATCGACCCGAACAGTGGACACTTCCTTTAAGGTTGACTGCAAATAACCTGACACAACGGTTTGTAGCTTAGCAACCAGATGTTGTACCATCCCAGTTGGTAGCACTCTCGCCCCTTGAGTCAGAAGGCTGTGGACTAAAGCCCTTGTTGTCGGGAACTTAGACCTCACAATAGCCTCGGCTGATATTCCAATGTAGTGCTGGAGGGGTGGGGAGCACTGCATTTTCAGTGGTGCCGTCCTTCATACGAGATGTTAAACTGAGATCTTGTTCAGACAGCAATAGATTCAAGATCCTGTGGCACTATTTGAAAAGAGCCAACAATCCCCCAAGATAAAATCAGTCACTCACTTCATGGCTGTTTGGGGGACATTACTGGGCGCAAATTGGCTGCCCCACAAAACACAATGACTACGCTTAAACAGCAAAAGGAGCGCTTTGAGTCTGTGCAAGAAGCGCTTTGAGTCGTCCTCCCGACATTATAGGTGCTGTATCGCGTGCAAGGATTATTTATTATACGATCCGAGTGACCTAACGGTAGTAGTAATAATAATAATAATCTTTACATTTGATACAGCGGCTTATCACTTTGTCGCGATGCCTCAAAGTGCTTCACAGGACTTACTGTGAGGTGCGGTTACTTTTGTCGGTGAACACGGCAGCCGGCATGCAAGCCGCCAACGGCCGCAAAGTGTGACCGAATTTGGCAAGAGGTAACATAGCACCGCAAGGCACTGGTTAGTTTTGCTGCACTTGTCAACAAATACCACCGATAGATTTCTGTTAGGAAAATGATATCTCGGGATATACAGTATGTGGTTTGGCACACGACATGCCATCGCCTAGCAAATTCTTATGTTCTTACAGGACAATACAACAATACAAAATTACGACTTTCAAGTCGGGAGGACATCCGAAAGCGCTTATGCCGACATCCACATGTAGCTCAGTGGTTAGAGCACTCGCCTCGCAAGCGAGAGACCTGGGTTCGATTCCCAGCAGGATGAAACGTTGAGTAAGTTTCCTTACACCACCCGCCACTGCTTACCTAGCGGCAAGTAAGAACTCAGTTGTTAGTTGATTGGCGGATAGCTTTCCGGGGATAATAATCCCTTCAAAAAACAATAATAATAATAAATTGCACCCTCAATCCACGACTATCTGTGGGACGCTGCTGTGCGCAACTGGCCGCTGCGTTTGGGCCACAAAATATAGTCAATTCACTTTACGGTATATTCTGTGAAGCGCTTTGAGACGTCTCAAAGATGTGATAATGCACTATATCAAATGCAAGGATAATTATTATTATTATTATTATCCATAGGATAGACTGGTTAGCCATCAACAATGGCTGTGAGTACGGCTATCTCCGCCACTCCAAAAGCTCACTGAAAGAACCCGACAGCCTGGCCAATCGACAGCTTTTTCTTGGATTACTGCGGATCAGCCTAGCTTCACCGTGTTTCCCCAGAGCCCAAAGGAAAGGCCACTTAAGGGAGGATATCTTTTTTTTCCAGACACGGCATTCGTTTTATCGACTTTGAATACCTGAAGAGCCTGGTGGACCTGAATGGGACTTCAAACCCATAATCTTCTGGTCCTTAAACCAACTGAGCTGCATGGGATGTAAGCCATGTGGTTTTCAATGCAGAGAAATACGTACGCTCAGTGTAAGATACGAACAGATGATTCGACTTGCAATGTGGGCACAGGGCTAAAGGACGGCAGTGTAAAAAATTAACAAGCCTCAAGTGAGGCCGGAGATTAAGGGAGATGTTTTTCCGACACAATAGGAGATAGAAACAACAGTAAATATAAAACAAATAGCAAAAAGCTGCGTTGGTTAAATCCTTTATAAAAAAAAAGGCAGATTCTTGTGTCCTGTAAATCACATGCACCTGATATAGACTGGACTCTCACCAACCCTCCATGGTCTCACCCCCACTGCCCTTCTCCACCTCCTCCTTGACCTCCTACAACCCAACTGTCTGTCTCAGACACCTTCTTCGATCAGCAAGCACCAGTCTCCTCATGTCCTCATCCATATCTACCTCATCATCGGCAGGCAGGCCGGCTGGCTTTCAGACATTCTATCCTCACTCTCTGGATCTCCATCCCAGAGTCCCTTTGCCTCACTTGCTCCCTCGCCTCATTCAAAGCCCACAATAAGATGCACCTCTTCGACCGTGTCTTCTGCCATCTTTCCACTCCCCATTTTCTTCGCCACCCCTCCTAATTGGGTGCCCAGTCAAAAGCGTGAAGCGTTAACGCTTCAATGCAAGTTGGAAAGGCTTTTGCTCATTCCTAGATCTGGATTTAGTTTTTATTGCAACCTGTGGATGTCGCTCACTCTCCCTCATCCCCTACATCAATCAACGTCTATGCAAATCATTTACCTGCCAGATTTCAGAATCAGAGAGCAAAAGTGCAGCGGGTTACAAAAACTAACTGAGCAGTAAGTAATAAGTGACTTCCGGGGTAATTTAAGACAACAGATTGCTTTAGTTTTTACACCGAGCAAGACTTGATAGGCTTCCTAATGCAGAACGTCCCACCTCCCTGTTTAAAAAACACTGCATAACTTATCATGACTTTTGCATGGCCATCTAGTGGTGACATATAATAATAATAATAATAATAATATGGAGAGAAATGGAAGGGATACAATAAGTTAGCCTCTTTAATCTTGGGTTTGTGATGTACATCGAACAGCATTGAACCCAAGCCCCTAACACTATAATGCTTATATTTCTAGATCACAACTAGACGCTCATTCAAAACATGCTATACAATCCTAGACATTTACAGCCCTGAAGGAGGTCATTCGGCCCATCGAGTCTGCACCGGCTCTCAGAGCAACCTGTACTTTCAATCCCCACCAGACCTCTTCGAGCCTTTACTGTTCATATACCTGTCAATTTCCCTTAGCTTTTTGGTGGTTTTTACCGAATTTTAGGCAAATTTTACAGAATACAATGTGATAATTAAAGACATTGTATAATTATTACTTATGAGATTCCTGCTTTCGAATTATTTTAATCATCTTAAGGTTTGAAAGAAAAACATGAAGCATTGCTACATCTGTTTTTAATGTTTCTGGATGTGGGATAAAAAGTGCCCCTTTGAGTTCAGCCCCCATCAGTGACAATTCCTTAAAGAAATGCCCTGTCGTACCTGCAACTCTGTCTGGAAGAAGAACTTCTGGGGGCACTGTGAGCAGTCGTAGATCTTGTCCTCCTGGCCATGGGCTGAGAAAATATGCTGCTGCAACTTGTTGGCTTGAACAAACACTGGGGAGAGAAGCGGGAGAGAGAAGAGGGGTGAATGGGCATCACTACAGCGGCCTCTATGCAACCCACCACACTGCACGCATTCAAGCAACAGCTCAGGGGGCCGTGCAAATCTCCTGCGTGGAGGGAGGCTTACGCGGGTCTTCAGTTTGATCGTGAACTGGCTGCCATATTTGGCCACAGGGTACACACAGTTTCCTTACTCCACATGCCTCTGTTCACCCAGCAGTAAGTAGGAACCCAGTTGTTAGTCGATTGACAGATCGCTTTCTTGGGTAAAAATCCCTCCAAAAAAACAGAAGAATTGGTCACTCAATGCACGACTGTTTGTGGGACACTGCTGTGCGCAATTGGCTGCCGTGTTTCGCCCACAAAATATACAGTCAATTCACTTTACAGTATATTCTATGAAGCGCTTTGAGACATCTCAACAAATGCAAAGATTATTATTATTATTATTATTATAATACCCAATGCAGCTCCATTGACACCCCAGCAGTCAGTCCCTCTGGCCAACAGATCGAGCATCACTGCTTGTAGCCGGTGGCAAGAGGGAGGTCTGTTCTCTCTCAGTCGTCTGTTAATTGAAGGGGCTGCGGATCAATCAAAGGAAGGAGCCTGGCCGGGGAGAAGGGGAGATGGGATGAGGCTGGAGTAAGTAAGCTCCAGGCAGGGAGTGCAGGAGGAGACCTGAGGCAGAATCCCTCTTGGCACGGTTCAGTCTTAGTGCAGCCTGAGCAATGACTAATGGAGTGGCTACAATAGGAATGTTTTCAATTTTAATGAATACAAACAAGACCTCAAAACTGAAGGGAAGTTTACCAGAGAGACAAGCCATTAATAATTAAGCTGCGTACGCCACAGGCATTGTTTGAGTTGGAGGGGAGGGGGTGGGGATTTTTTTTCCCCTCTGTGAGTGATGTGCGCTGCTCTCTGGCCTAGAATCCAAGTCCGTACTCCGTCATTAGACCTGCTAAACATGACAGAGCACCACACACCCTTCGACCGCTTCTCCCAAATAACTAACTAACAACACAAAAATACAATAATCTTTGCATTCTGATACAGCGCCTTATCAGCCCGTCGAGACTTCTCAAAGCGCCTCACAGGAGATTACGCTGAGCAGCGACTGCACACTTTGTGAGCAAACACAGCAGCCAAATTGCACACAGCAACGACCCACAATCAGCCATGAAGTGAATGACCAATTTCATTTAGGAGGGGTTCATTGGCCAATAGACCGGGAGAGAAAATCCCTTTTCTTTTCCAATAGTGCCACAGGTTCTTTAACAACCTGCTGAACGGGCAAAGATGGGGCCTCAGTTTAATGTTTCATCCAAAGGATGGCACCTCCAACAATGCATTGTTCCCCCCAGAACTGTTTTAGTGTGTCCACCTAGACTGGATGACTGAGCAGACTACTGGAGTCAACTTAAGCCTGCAAAGTATACAGTCAATTCACTTTACAGTATATTCTGTGAAGCGCTTTGAGACGTCTCAACGACGTGATACGGCGCTATAAGGCGCAAAGATTATTATTATTATTGACAGGAGTTGGGTTAGTACTAGTATAAAATTGGTGAGTCAATGTATTCTGCACTCTCGCCTTAAGAGTCAGAGATCATGGCTTTAAGCTCCACATCAGGGACTATGAGGTCATACAGTCCCAGCCCCATTGCTGTAGACATCATCCTTTAGAGAAGGCACTCAATGAAGATCCCATCTGTCTGATCTGGTGGACGTTAAAGATCTCATATGCACTATCAGAAAAGAGAAGGGAGTTTCTCCCGGTGTCCTAGCCAACAATCCTCCAGGTAAAATTGGGCATTCACTTTATGGCTGTTTGGGGGACGTTGCTGTTCTCAAACTGCCAGCTGCTTTCATCTACAAAATACACAGTCAGCCACTCTATTGTAAAATCATCTGAAGTACTTTGAGATGACGTTTCGACAATGTGACTTGGTGCGATATCAAATGGAAAGGATCGTTTTTAGTATTAGCATTAGCCTGGCTCAGTTGGTAGCAATGGGAGCACTTCATAAGAATAAAAATCCTTGCATTGATGTAGCACCTTATCACGTCTTCGAGACATCTCAAAGCGCTTCACAGAATATATAGTAAAGTGAATTAACTGTATATTTTGTGGGCAAAATGCAGCAGGCAATTGGGCACAGCAGTGCCCCAGAAACTGTCTTGGATTGAGTGACCAAATTATTGTTAGTATTTTTCACCCCTGGAAAAACGATCTGCCAATCGACTAACAACCAGGTTCCTATTTACTGCTAGGTAAACAGAGGCTGTGGAGTAAGGAAACTTGCCTAAAATTTCGCCCTGCCCAGAAATCCAACCCCGGTCCTTTTGCTTGGAAGGCGAGTGCTCTAACCACTAAGCTACAGGATTCCATAAAGTCCTTCAAGGAGAGCTCAAAGCTCTCCTTGGAAGAACAGTTAAGACGTTCTCTCTATGTGAAAGTTGCTATAACCAAATAATGTTGTGATTATTGTTATTATCTCGAAATACCAGCGCTGGCTGCAGAGATGACAGCCCGCAGGACAACCCAAGTCATGCAAAGTGGGCAGATGATCAATTCATACAGAAGAACAATTACAAAGGCCATATTCAGGGCAGATTTTCACTCTTGACAAGTTAAAGCAAACAACTTGTATTTATGTAGCGCCCATCACGCAGGGTAACATCCCAGAGTGCTTGACAGTGGCGGAGCACGACTCTGAAGGGAGGGGAGGGGGGAGGTGACCGTTAGCACTGTCAAATAAGATCTTCAGGTGTGACCTGAAGTTGGGGAATGAAGGGGCAAGGCGGAGGGATAGAGGAAGAGTTTTGGGGCTTAGTGGCTGAAAGCGCAGCCACCAATGGTGGAACGGAGGGCATGAGGGATATGCAGGAGGCCAGAGCCAGTCGAGCAGAGGTAACGGGTTGTAGGTTGGGTGTAAGCAGGTCGGAGAGGTAGGGAGGGGCCAGAGCTTGATTTGAAGACAAGTGTGAAGATCTTGAAATAAATCCGTTCGATGATAGGATGCCAGGGGATCCTGGCTGGAACTCAAACACGTTGAACCGGACGCTGGGAAGCCTCACCTGTGAAGCAGACTGGGCACTTGAAGGTGCCTCCCATGCCTTCGAAGCTATGCTCTATCAGGTGGCACTGTAGTTTGGCTGGCGAATCGAAGGTCTGGTTACACAGCTTGCACTCGTGATTCAGCCCTTCCTCTGGTTAAAACAAACAGGGACAAAGAGAAATGCATCAATATCCCATACAGTAGACAACCTCCTGAAATGAAAAACAACAACTTGCATTTATATAGGAACCTTCACGTGGGGCTGTGTCTCGGAGAGGGTGAAGGGCACTACACCCAAATTCGAGGATTATTGTTACTAATATACTTGTCCGGAAGCCAGGTAAATGCTTTGGTTTGTGGCACTTAATATAATACTCTTTACACTTAATATAGAACCTATCACATCGTTACGCTAAATCATTGCCACGTGGTTTTCTCTTTACCAGCACCGCTCACAACCCCCTGTGGATAAACTTCTCTTCTCAACAGAATGTGTGCGTGTTTGTGTTACATGTGTGAGTGTGTGTGTGTGTCTGTGTGTACAGGGGGTAGGGAATTCACAAAGCACGTACAATAATAATGATAATAAACCTTACATTTTACATGGTGAAGTGAATGGCCTATTTTATTGGGGGGATTTGTTGCCCAGAACACAGGGAAAAACTCCCTTCTCTTTTCGAGTAGTGCCATGGGATTTTTGAACAGCACAGATGGGACTTCGGTTTAACGAAGGACAGTACCTCAAACAATGCAGCACTCCCCTCTCCCCCCACATTGCATTGGAGTGTTAGCCTGTCTGTGTGCATTCAGTCTCGACGTGGGGGCTTGAACCCACAACCTTTTGACACAACAACAACAATAACTTGGATTTATATAGCGCCTTCCACGCCGGACGGCGTCTCAGAGCACTTCACAGCAACGGATTCCAGGACCAGGGGGAGGGGGAGGAAGGTGACCAAAGGCGCGGTTGAAAAGAAAGGTCTTCAGCAGAGACCTGAAAATAGGAAGGGAGGGAGCGAGGCGAAGGGAGTGAGGAAGGGAGTTCCAGAGCCTCGGGGCATAGTGGCTGAAGGCACGGCTGCCGAGGGTGGAGTGGAGGACTCGGGGGATGAGGAGGAGGCCAGAATGCTGCTGACTGAGCCAGACTGACTCACAAAAAAACAGAGAGGTCAAACTATTCTGGAAGCAGTCATTTATTGCAATAAGAATTGATAAGAATAATTCAACCACTTAAATATTCTGATGAAGGGTTGTGGACCCGAAACGTTGACTCACTTTCCTTTCTCCATAGATGCTGCCTGACCTGCTGAGTGCTAACCAGCGACTTCTGTTTTTCTTTACTTAAATGTGAGCATTTTTAAAAAAAAAAATCTATTTTACCCGTACCAAGTCCACAGAAAAATGTCACTTTGCCTCCAATTACTGTGGTGGTGGAGGCTGAGGGTGGGAGAGAGAAAAAAAAGTCCTCAGGCATTATGTTTTCAACTGTTACCAAACACAATGCTTGTGGCATTCTGGAGGATGGGAACCAGAAAGTATTTCTTTACATTGAGTAAAGACAACAGGTGGAATGGATTACCAGCAGGACACATTTCAGAGACAGCTTATTGCTATCATGGGGAGATGGGAGGGTTCGTATTCTGAAATGGCTCTTTCGTGTCAGCTTGTGTACGGAGTGTATGAGCCAGAGGATCAGTGATACAAGTGGATTCAACACCCACCTCCCCCGCCAAATCACCTACAGAAACGATAGTGCAGTACTTGCACACATATACATACACGCATATTCCTACACACAGATACATGCATATAAACACGCACACATACATACACACACCAAAATACTCACTCACATATATACCTACACAAAAATACACACGCACAACATACACATATATACACACATAAACATACATACGCACAAACACATAATTATACACAGACACACACACACATATGCACATACACACATACATACATAAAAACACCAACTTGCATTTATATACCCATGAATTCACACACACAAACATACACACATACAGACACAAATACACAACACATACATACACACATAAATACACACACACACATTATGATAGTATTCAATCAGGAAATGCTAACATCTTCTTTTCTTTCCCCCAGGCAAAACGAACGCAAAGAATGAGTAGAAATGCAAGCATTAGGGTAAGCCCTGAAAGCCAGTGTGTATTTTTCGCAGTCTGATCTGCTCCGGGTTTTACACAGTACCAGCAAGATTAGGCACCCTGTGTCGGAGAAAGCTTAGCCCCTCAAAAACTCACGTGCAACAGATATCACAGTCAGAGAATCATTGAAACGGCGGCACCTCAGGAGGCCATTCTTCCCATCATGCCTCTGCTATATTAGCTCCCCCGCTGGACTTATCTAATCCCATTTCCCTGCTCTTTTTTCGTGCTCCTTTCATTACATCTTTATTCTGCAGAGATTAGTTCTCCAGTCACCTCCTGTCTGTCTGTCGGACCTTGCTGCTACAAAAGGCTGCTTCCACATTCATCTACACTTAATACACTTAGTCACTACACTTATACACTCGATTCCCGGGCAGGGTGAAATCTTAGGCAAGTTTCCTTTCTTCACAAACCTATGTTTATTCAGCAGTAAGTAGGAACCCAGATCCTTTTGAGGGTAATAATCGCTTAAAAGTAGAGTAAATCCTGTGAAGCGTTTTGAGATATCTCAACGACATAGAGCAATATATCAAATGTAAAGATTAGTATTATGTTAAGTGTCTTAAATCAATGCATTAACCCAGCTGCCGGTTCAATTACAGTAATAATAACCCTTGCATTTGGTACAAAGTCTTTCACGTCCGAGGATGCTTCAAAGGGCTTCACCGGATACAATGTAAAGTGTAATGACTGCCTTTTGCAGGTGAAAACAGAGCCAATGTCCCACAAACATTATTTGGGGGAACTGTTGGGCCAGGACATTGTGAGAAACTCTCTTCTGTGTTTGAATAGTGGGATGTTTAACGTCCACCTTTAACTGCGGGGGGTGGGGGGTGAAAACAGGCGCTTCAGTGGGTTAAACCAATTACCAGAGACAACATGGGTCATGTATTGTCATTCGACTTTTGTTCAAATGTAACGAAGAGCTCCAATTTAGTTGCAGTAAATACGTAGAACGTGCAGTAAATGAGTGAGGGGTGGGACAGGGAATGGGGTGGGGGTGGGAGGTATACTGTGAACGTACGGACTCCTCGCCCACTTCCCTTAAAGCCACCGAGAATTAAAACAACAAACAGTCCATTTCGACGTGTCTAATGATTGTGTTGCATCTGATGATTTCACAGGGCGATCCTGTTAATACAGCGCATCAAAGATTGCTGCAGACAGCAGTTAAGTGTTGATTGGTGACCTGCCTCCCCCCCACCACCCAACTCTCCCTCCGCCACTCCCTCCTCCCTGTTCACATCCAGTTTATGTAACCACTGCCACGTCTTTCTCTCGCTGCTCACCCTGCCTGTTCCGAAACCTCTGCAGCTAGCGATTACTGCTGCTTTTCTAATAATAATAATCCTTGCATTTGATACAGCGCCTTATCACGTCTTCGAGCCGTCTCAAAGTCCTTCATATTATATACAGGATATAAAGTGGATTGACTGAGTATTTTGTGGGTGAAACACGGCAGCCAATTGCCCACAGCAGTGTCTCACAAACAGTCATGGATTGAGTGACCAAATTATTATTATTATTTTATTTATTTTGAAGAGATAAGTGGGAACAATCGGGTTCCTACTTACTGCAAGATAAACAAGAAACTTGCCTAAGGTTTCGCCCTGCTCGGGAATCGAACCCAGCTCCTCTCCTTTGCGAGGCGAGTGCTCTATCCAATATGCTGCAGGACTTCCTAATGTTTCGCCCTGACTGGGAACCAAACCTGTGTTTTCTCTTTTCCAAGGCAATTGCTAACCACTACTCTACGGGACTCCACATCAATTCTAACCATCAATTGCAAATGGAACAGGCACAGGCCTTGACTTTTACTGTCACTCTTAAAACGTGCTGCTTTTCAAACCTATCATAAATTAAATCTACTCAGCATTTCTTATCAACGCAAACCAGCTTTCGTGTGGGGATGGTGGGGGGAGAGAAAGGGGACAGTAATATTCAAAATGAAAGCTGTGAATAGTAAAAAAAGCATTGCCTTCTTCCTTTGTTATGGCAGTACAGATTTTTACCAGATTAATAAACACCCGTTTGTGGAGTGCTGTAGTGTAGTAGGTAGTACGCTCGCCTCGCCCTAAGATAAGATGAAGAAGTCAGGAAGAGGACAGGAGGAAGGGCTGTGGTGTAGATGGCAGAGATGGATTGGAAAAGGTGATGGGAGAATGCATCCTTTTAATCTGTCAGGCCAGCTCAGTCAGGAGACACTCTCGTCTCCAAGTCAGAAGGTTGTGGGTTCAAGTCTCCCACCTCGAGGGAGACGTTAAATTGAGGTCCCGTCTGTCTGCCTGTCCAGGTGGACGTTAAAATCCGTCCTGTGGTGCTCCTCGAAAAGAAAAAGGAGTTTCTCCCAATGTCTGGCCAACAATCCCCCAAATAAAATTAGTCTCTGGAATCTCCAGGTGTAGGTGGGATGCGTGGTATCTTCTGTTTGGTTTGGATGCTCTTAAACCTGGTGATGGGTTCCCGCATGTGTCAGACACCTGACTGACCCCCAAAAATCAGTCACTCGCTTGATGGCTGTTTGCAGGGGCATTGCTGTGTGCAAGTTGACTGCTGCATTCAACAACAACAACAACAACTTGCACTTAAATAGCGCCCTCCACTCAGGGTAGAGTCTCAAGAGCGCTTAACAGTGGTGGAACGCGATTCACCCACAAATACACAGACATGATAGTAAATCCTGCGAAAAGCTTTGAGATGTCTCGATATCAAATGCGAGAATTATTGTGCCTATAACACTGGTGATCATCTTCAATCTGTGCCCTTGTTACTGACTCTGCTGTCAGCGCAAGTCATCTCTCTTTATTAGTCCCCATCAAAAACATTCATAATCCTTGATAACTGCACAATTGTCACGACATGGGATGGAACAAATCATTGGATTTTCATTTGAATGTTCTCCCACCTGAGCCATCATGGTCATTGACATTTAATAGTGAAAATA